GCAATCCCCATTCTCATTCATCATGTACGAGGGGTCGAAGGGAAACGATAAAAAAAAAACGAAAATGCGAAGGTGCGCGATCCATCCATACATCATTTGCAAAAGAGGATTCCGGAGAAGAAACGAAAAAGGAGAGAACACCGATACAAAGAAAAAGAATCAAATCGAACAACAGGACGAGTACATGGCCGCAAAGACAAGGGCGAGTTGCCCGTAATCGACACCAAAATTTATATACACAGATAAAAAAAGGACCGAAAAGAAAAGCGCAAGTCCATGTCCATCCTCAACCTCAGCTCTCTCTCCTCTCTCTCTCTCTCTCCGATGGCGACAGTCCGTCGTCGCGCACCAACACACGAAGCCGTCACCCCGCTTAGTCCTCCTGCGCCCATCAGGTTCGCTCCGCGCCCACAGTCCGTCGTGGCCCGCGTCAACCCCGCGCATTCGGCACCAGCTCGTCGGGTCGCCCGACTCCCACTTCACTCACCTCTTACTTCGCTCGTGTGTCGACCCTCTCGATCGTGCAACCCCGAGCTTCCAGAGACTGTTAAGAGAGAAAGTTAATCACACAGCTGAAATTTATAGCGTGCATGCATGTGCGAAGAACGCGGAATTACAAGGACGTAGATAGATGGGAGAAAGGGAGTGCTTACGTTTGCACGGTCGGGCCGCGGCGTGGGGGACGTACCCAACTCCACGCATCGATCCGAACATGCAAACGCGGCTACCCAGCTAGGGAGGGGAGAGAGGAAGAAACGAGGCGGGAAGAATAAGAAGCAAGAAACAGAAAGATACAGTTACAAAAGTGTGCGCCAAAAATTACAGTTGCAGAAGGATTAAGGCGCCAATCAATCAAGGTCCTGGCGCATCAACAAGAAAGAGCGCGCGAACACGCAAAGCAGCGCCCAAAAAAAACAGAAATTTCAAAATTCCAAAATTCCTAGCTAGCCTGCCGATATTATGAAAAGGTCCGAAAAGAAAATCAAAATTTCGAAGGCCGTATGGCTCCGACCAAGATTCAAAAAGAAAATTCAAAAAGGCAATTCAAAAAGAGACACCGAAATTCCCGCGCGATGTCTATGCGCCCTAAAGTCCGTCAAAACAAAATTAAAAGAAGGGAAACGAAAGAAAAGAAGTGACGTCAACGTTTATTAATCGCGCACTCGGCGCGCACTCCGCATCCATCGACCAAGTTTCACCCCTTTTTCCCCGTGCATTCCCGAATTGTCCCCAACTGTCATCAGGGGCTCGTGTGCGAATGAAGAAACAACGAAGAAAGCAAGGACACACATGCAATTTTCCATCAACCTGTCCAATCGACGTGGGACCCCGCTTAGCACTTCGCGCAGAAAGTCGCGCATTACAGAAGCTAGTTCGTCACAACATCCCCAAAAACCAGTCTTAATAAGGTCGTGTGAACAAAACTCCAACCCACTTTATCATAAGCTTTCTCCATACCCAGGAGAAGGACTGCGACCTCCCTGTTCTCCCTCCCAAGAATCTCAAGAGCCTGAATTGTGGCCCCTATATTGTCAAAAAAGGATCAGATTCTTCCTTTGATAAAGGCGCCCTGCTCCCGCCCTATCAAGTTGGGAGGAGTTTAGCAAGCCTGAGAGCTAGGGTTTTAGCAAATAGTTTGTAGGTGACGTTTAGTACAGAGATGGGCCTCCAATTGCAGACCTCTGTCTTGTCCCCTTTCTTATACAACAGTGAGATCATTCCCATAGTGAAGTTATTGGGAAACACTCCCGAAGTCCGAGCCTGGTTATATATTTCCAATAAAAAGGGGGCAAAGGAGGGCCAACATGCTAGAAATAGTTCCACGGGGAGGCCCTCCAGTTCATGACATCTGCCTTTAGCCATTTGTTTGGCTACTATATACAGCTCGTGCTCACTGATTGGTTGGTCCATCTCAGCCTTTGTTGAGGGGGAGAGAGTCTGCAGGGGTAGATCCCAGAAGTTTGAAAAACTCAGAAAGATCACAGTTTGGAGGTTCTAGAGGCCTACAATGTCTCTAAAGTATTCTAGTGGGTATGAGCACATTCGAACAACATCCTCAGGACCTCAGCTCTTCTCTGTTTTTCTTTTCTGCAAAAGCTCAAATCGGTCAGCCTGCTGCTCCAGGGAACCCCTGCTGTGAACAAGCTCTCTCACTACTTCTTACTTTGCATCTGGCTGGTGTTATGGTCAGATACAGCATGGAACGCCGTACTTCGAATGCACCTGATTGGACATTCAATTGCGTTGCGTTGACTTCAGCAGATATTCCATTGCGCTGACTTCAGCAGACTATCGCGGCGGCAACGGCCAAACCGAACCTGTTCGCAGCCAGAGGCTGCGCTTACCTCGACGGTTCTTTAGTCGTTTTGTGGAGTTTCTTTTTCGGGAAATGTCGTGGACGTCAAATGAGGTTTGTCGGGGTCTTTTCGGGGTTTAGGCAAAAGTGCAAAGGGTGCGGTCGCGGCTAGGAGACGGACCAGTAGTGTGGCTGGTCGTGCTAGGCTTTGGGTAGTGTACGTYTAGTGGTCGTTTCATTAGGTCGTTCAGGTTTGTTGGGGGCGGCGACCCGGTTTCCTTTTTGGGTGAGGAGAAATGGCTTGGGGATGGGTGGAAAACGGGCAGCAGGGGGTCATCAATGTGTTCACGACTCAATGTTTTTCCGGTTGCTTCGCTTTGTTTTGGGTTGGGTGCCAACAAACAAAAGTGGGGAGCGGGGGGTGGGTCATGAAAGTAGTGACAACTCAATCCTTTTCCAGTTCGTGTCCTTGGCCTGGGGCGTTTCTGCTTTTTTTTTTTTTTTTTTTTCAGTTTGAACTGCATCTCCCCATAAATATGGGAAGCATTCATCTGTTTACTGCTATGAAGTATTGAAAAACGAGAAGGGAGTGCCCTGCCTTGTTGGCAGGGCTTACCAAAAAAAAAGGCAAAAAAAGAGCTATCGAGATCTAGGGCCTCGCTCCACGACTCACCGAATGTGCAAAATGAGAATGAATAGTCC